CAAAGTAGTGTACGCGGATCATAGATCAAATCTCTCTCATTTGGCTTAGAATTCCTATGCACCACAATCAAGTGTTTGAACAAAATTGGAAATATGAAAACATTCAAATACATCTCAATTATGCTCCGTAGTATAGGTTAGGTTAATCTGGTCGGCGTTGTGCCGCACATAGACCGGTAGGTCCTTAGCGTTGCCAGTTGGAGCTCATTTTTACGCGCTAAGGCCAACATCACAAACGATGTGAACGTTTTTGCGAATGTAAGCAGAAATTTCAGCCATAGCTTTGAGATGTCCTCTAACTTCTTGAATTGGAAGGCTTGCAAGCATTTAAGTCGTGTTTTTGACAGTGCAGGACATCGGCAGAGAAGATGCTCCAAGGTTTCCCTGGTCTTCCGCTCACGATACTTCTTGCACCTGTCTACGCTAGCGATACCGTAGGATAACTATTCTAACTTTTTCCAGAACTATCCTTGAGTAAGGGGTTTTAACGGAAAATTTTTGTCTACTCAACTTAAACAATACTCATTTAACATTACAGCAAAAAAGTATGAGTCCAGCCTTCAAACCACAACCTTCTTCGCCTGACATCCATATAATGATACATATTTCAATTTTCTGGCTGCCTTAATTTAAGTTTAACTTGAGTTTTTAAACAGATGGCAACACTTTTGCGTATTTTTATCAAATAAAGCTTTTTCAAAACCATTTCGATCGATACCCATAATGTAGTAATATATTTAACCTACTAAAAATTTAAGTTAAATTATTAATCAGGTGGCATCGATTTTCGAAAAATATATCGTTTCTCCTTTTATTTAAATCCAACGAACGGTACAGATCTGATATGATAAAAAAGCTTTTGCGTATTATTTACGTACACATATATATGTGCATATATAATATGTATGTATATACATAAGTTACTATGTATTTACATATGCTGTGATCAGCTTGTAAATATTTCCCTTCACCTGCGCTTTTTGCCTAGCCGCCCATCTTTCTTTGCACGAAAAACTTGTGAGGTTAACCGATAAAAGCACTTAAGCGAATTTTCTTTACTACTTCAAAGATGAAGGTATCCGAAGCCCTATGAAACCAATCATTGGAGGAGCACTTACCATTTAGAAATTACATCTAATTGCAGAACCTTTCGATATACCAAACGAAAACTTGAATTTTCGAGCACTTTGGTAATGAAAAAAAATAAAAAATAAAAAAAAAATTTTTTCTAATTTAATATTTCTACTGCTCTGAAGAACTTACATCCCGAAAATGAAAGTTATATGTGCAAAACCTAAGTTGCTGGAGCACTTTAAAGGTTCAAAATTGAGTCCAAAGTAAGCCATAAACGTCTACGGAAAGCTTAGGATTTTTTTTTAAATGCCGCATTTTTCTTTGAAATCGCTTCATTACTTCTCGTGCAATAAGAGAGAGTACAACCATTGCTGAAAGCTGAGAGTTGTACTCTAAGCGTTTTTTTTTTTGAAGCTCTAAAAATTACAACTACAATAATTGAGCATGGCATCCACACCGAAACGTAAGACGTATTTTAGGTCAAAAATTGTGTAAACTTTAAAATTTTCAAAAAACTTCAAAAAAATATAATTTTTATGGTCAGGCACCATTCTTTTTTTATTCTAACTGCACATCATAGTCATCTTTAAGCTTATGAAAACCCATATGCAAATGAATGTTTAAATGCTTTTTGTGTCTCTGGTATGTACATATGTACGCCCTCCGTCTCGGCAGATAATGGCAAAGTTTTGCCATGAAACGGTTTATCATCTAAAAAAACTTCATTAGGTCCCTGAAATAAATTTATGTTAGCAATATCTAGCCTTCTGAATAGCTTAGAGTGGATAGGTAACTCTGGTGCTTCTATATTTAATTTAGTTTATCATTCCCCAAACAATTTTAGTTACTTGAGTATAAAATTCACTTTTCACTTTTGCATATAAGTTACAAAAAACCAGCAAATAAAAAAAATGTCCAATGAATTAAATATTTCGCATGAATAAATCGAAAATATTAGCATTTCCTTGAAATGATCTAAAATTGGAATAACCGACAGAAATTTAATGAAGAAAAGTATTTCCATACATACATATGTACATACACATTCCTTTATATATGTAATTAGTATACCGATGGCACATTAACAAAGAAACTATTAACTAGTAATTGCTTGTAGTAATTGTATTCATTCAATTGTATATTAGTTACAAAAAACAGCAAATAAGAACAAATTTCCAATGAATTAAATATTTCGCATGAATAAATCGAAAATATTGGCAATTCTTTTAAATTTAAATCAAATTGGAATAACCGACGGAAATTTAATGAAGAAAAGTATTTACATACGTACATACATACTAGAACTTTTTTAAGTCTCGAAAATCCCGGGACTCTTGACAAGTAATCCCGGGATTTTCGGGATTTGTATATGGCACTGATGGAAATATGACCAGTATGGGCTATATTTCTTTTTTTATTTAAAAATTATTATTTTTTTATTAATGTCTAGCTCATTATACATATAACAACGCGCTATTTAAGTTACTGGTCATTTTAAAATTTTATCCTTGAAATTTCGCAATATTTGTTTTTGAAAACATTATATGTTAAGGGCTTATATACACCCGATAACATCCTCGAGTTTCATTCTTCTAACTTTGTCAGCTTTGTCGTCCTTGTGAATCCAAAAAATTTAATTTTTTTAATTCTAAAGAAATTTCCTTTTGCATTTGTTACCCATCGTAGTGTAATAAACAAAATGAAATCAATGTATGACATATTTATTTTCAAAACGCCCATTTGACTCAGTTTTCTCATTGCATTAACCCGTTTTACAGTAGCAACATTATAAATGTACATATTTAAAATTACAATTTTTTTTATTGCGATTCCAAAAATAATTTTTTTAGGAAATAAAGAGCTGTTTACGCAGAACTACCCACATGGAAGAGGAAGGTATGTTTATTGTGTGTGTGAAAGATGTTACACAGAAAGGGGAATCGACGAATGCGTGTGGTGTTCCACTGACTGCATCCATCCAAGGTTTGCGCCCTGCACTTCAGTTCGAGTGAAATCAAGTATTCAAATTCCAAGAGAAGACGCCTCAATCCTGGTGCAGTTTCATCAGATCAATTTTGCAAGCCCTTTTTCGTATACATATATTTAACTATTTATTTCTTGATTGACGCAGTAACCGCCTAAGCGATTTTGGGCAAATCCCTTAAAGTGCGCCAGTCATTTTGTTATTCATATTACTGGTTACTGAACCCAAAACTTAAAGAAACATATACTTCAAAGGTTCCAATTAAAAAATCTTAAAATGATTTTGAACGATTCGTTTTATGTCACAAACAACCAAATACACCGTGACTGGGATACCTGCCGGTGCTTCTGAAATAAAAAGTACGCCTTGGCGCACCAACAATCGGATCGGAAAAAGCCGAAAAATTAACATCCCTAATACATACATATGCCTTTATGTAGTTGGTATACCGATGGCACGTTAACAAAGAAACTATTAACTAGTAATTGTTTTATAGTAAAAATCCATAAATTGCAATTTTTATTTTTTAAGTAATTTTTTTCCTAATAAATACTAGATACAATAAAAGCACGTTTACATCTTTTTACAAGCTTTTATTATGTTTCACCTGTGTGTAATCAAATCTTGCAATCAATTTTTTACCGACTTACCGATGAGCTAGGAACTTTAAACTTTAAACTTAGCTCCCAGCCCGATGACAATGCAATAGTTTTGATCCGATAGACTCATAGGATATTTTAATGGGAAAAACTCCACAAAAAACATTTCCCGATAGGTGGTGCAGAACTTGAGATATTTGAAAGTCGTATTTATAGTCCGATTTGCTTCGAATTCAGAACTTCTTCGAAGTCCTCCGAAACGGCTTGACGATTAATATGATTTTTTTTTCTTTGTAGATTTGGTAGGTATAATGATAGGTCGCCAAGTATATTTCACACCGCAAAGTCAAGGGGCATTTTTTGGAGACGTTTGTCACCTGTTCCAAAAATTAGATTCATAAGATAATTGGTGCCAAACGTAAAGTATTTAGGAAATCATTGCCTAAGGAATATTTCTCAATAGTGTTGCCAGCAATAAAAAAAATTTAATACAAAAAATTTACAATTAATTAGAGTGATGGATTTAGTAAATAATAGAGTTGAAATACAAATTTTGAAATATTTATCAAACGAAAAATGTTGAAAACATTTAAAATATCAAATAAAAGTATTTTGAAATTTATTTGTTAGTAGTTAGCAGTGCGCGATACTAAAAATATATAAAAATTTTGAACGGAATCATAATAATGAGATTTTCTTGATGCCGCCATTGAACTTTTTTCAAAGATTAATAAAAGAAAACCTTGGACAACTCAGCAAAAACTTTACCGATTTAGACGTATGCGGTTTTATTGGAAATAAACTCATTTCATCAAATAAACTCATTCACGTCGCTCTTTATTCTACTGATTCGTACTCATCAACTTCATCGTATCCAGGCAGCCATGTATTGCTCAATTTATACAAATACGTTTTGTGCGCATAAATACTTGCGTACATACACTGATTTTTGCAAGTCACGCGTCGTTTGATTTTATATGTCCTTAGGCGTGTAAAAGTTTGCAGACACTAAACGAGGTGGAACTTTTTATATTAAAGTTTTTTGTTGCGGTTCTGCTAAGAAAGTCTTTATTATATTTATTTATTTATTTATTTATTTGGTCTACAGCACTTCCTGAAAATCTATTTTAAAAATGGCCCTTTTTATGAGTTTAATTTTCCCCGAACCGGTTCACTTTTTTTTTTTTTGTTTTCGTGTATTTTTTTCGGGTGATTTTTTTTTTCTGACGAAACTCAGAATAAATTTGTATCATCGATTCAGGGCATGGTTTGTATCACTCATACGTCCCGTAGGCCATTTTTGCTGCTTTGTTTAAATTCACTACAAACGATGTAGAAGAGGTATTCAACGTTGGCTGTGAAAGAGGAAAGGCTATGCGGAGCAGGCCTTGGCCTCACTTCGAATTTGAAGTAGGTGTTAGTGGGCATAGAAGGGAAACAACTGTCGTACTCAATTGTACTCGATCCAAATCGCTTATACGCTTACAGCGCAAATAAAGAAGAAGGAAAAGAGTAAGTTTGGCGCAAAATTTTCACCTAACAATTCTAGAAATTCCCTAACTCTGGTATAACTATTCAATTTTTTATTATGGTAGGGCGTAAATAGCATCACTACTAACCTTAAACTCACAACCGCAGTAAGATCTCTGCACAAAGCAAGACTGAATTTCATAATTACAATTAATTTTATTAAAATGCTCGCTGCGTTGCTTAGTGCTTAGCCATTATATTTGTCCATTGACAGGAGAAGCTGTGTTCTTTTTTCAATTTCCATTAGGCAATAAAATAACATGATTTTCGTTTCTCTCGAAAATTGAATAGTCGAGTAGAAGTATCGTTACAATAAATAATAATGTCTAACTAAATCTGCGTATCACTTAACATACATACATACATTACTTAAATTTATTTACAAAACTTAAGTATAAACTGCATTTCGCATAAGTAAATGGCTACATATAAGTATAAGTTTCTAATTTACTTTTGACTAAACACAAAAAAAAAATATATCTACATACATAAATGAGTCGCTTATCCTGTGTGCTCAGCAGTTGACTTCAAAACGATTAAAGGTCTTTCACCCACTTTAACTCACTTAACACTTTAATTTACATAAGGCTTGTATGCTACATATATAAATGTTTTTTGTATACTTTCTACTCTAAACGTTTTACGCCAACTTGCGTGCCTGCACCAATTTGTTAATATCATGATATGTTGAAACCATTGCAGGATTCTCGAAATCCTTAAATTCTGTACATTGATCAAACGATTTCTCACAATCTACACCATCCTGACCATCCTTAGCAGCACGCATGTACTTGAAAAAACGTAGAATATCTGGATTATCGGATGTTGGTTTGCGTAGTTCATTCAATTCGCTGAAAGAGAGAGAATACGAAAAAATCAGTAAACATAAAAACAAAAACGAAAAAGAAAAACATCGCATGCAAATTTAAAAAGGGGCAGCAAAAAAATAAATGAAATGAAACCTCAAAAATCCAAACATTTTCCTATCCAAAAATAGAACAAAGCATACGCAATCATTTCCTTCCTTCCTTTCATCCAAGTATTTCAATGAGCTTTGTATTTACATAAATCCCCTAAGCAAATACCACAGCGAATTGCAATGACTAAGAGTGAAAAAGTAACTACACATCCTGAACATAAATAAACATAGCAATCCAATTAAGCCGCATTTTGGCGTTCGAAAATATTGTCGTTAAACAATGTAGGAATCTCGCGTTCGGTGTGGCGTATGAGTAACATTTCTTTCAAAAACATGTGATGGGAGTTCGTGGGTATTGCCAGCGTTTTTTGAAAGTGTGAAAGTATGAGGATAAACACCTCATTTGTGCACGAGTATGCGAAGATATAAAAAAGGTACTAGCTTTAAGCACTTGCGACATTTGTGGAAATGCACTGAGCGCTCGAGGAACTTATGAGCTTATTATTTTTTTTTTTTTGATGAAACTGGTTAAAAAGAATTGATTTAAATCCTCTATTTCTAATAAAAAAATTAAGTGTTTATTGAATGAAGATTATCATGCGATCTTGACGATTTTCTCAGTAGCTTTGAATGCTTATTTAGAAAATAGCTCACGAAATTGCCCGGTGTTAGTCGTCCAACTTTTAAACTAAATCCCCTTAGTCAGTCCTGTGAAGGCTATAAGTTATAGTGTCCCGATCTTTGTCATTTTCACTGTACAGTCTTGAAGATTTTATTTTCAATTGAAACTTTTCTAATTTTACTTCCCCTTTCTCCAAAAACTTACCGCGACAACTGCGCCGAAACCAAATTACTGTATGGCGCATATTTAGCTGGATTCGCATACATTAAGCAAATCAACTTCTCGCGACAATTCTCTTTGTCCGAATTTAATTTCAACTGCGCAAATACTGAATCCAAACGCGACAAAAGCGGACTGTAGAAAGGATCATAGTTGGAGAGCAACAGTGAGGAGGCTGGTACTTTTTGGAATGTTTGAAAGGTGTTGGTGTTGGCTGGCGCAATTGGTTTTGTGCGTAACGGTGCACCAAGACCGGCGCCACCACCTAGGCCACCACCAGACAAGCTGCCCGAAAGCGAACCAGAGTTTTTAAATGACGCCGAGCCGATGGTTTGCAATGCACTCAAATACGTATCTGGCATTTTATTCTGCTGTTCAATGCGATTTATGTCGGCGGCATTGTAGGTATAGTGTGTTTGAGAGGCCGCTGTAAAGTACAATAGATTTCGAATAAGCAAATAATGTGAAAAAAAATATTGACTTACCTGCTTGATTGTAAGCGTAGCCATCCTCTTTGTTATTTTCATCGACCATCGCAAATTTATCGTCATCGAAATTGATTGCATTGTCGCGGAAATCAAGTTCTTGTGGCGTATCTGGTGGGCGTATGAAAAGTGGGGCCGAACCAGAGACAATACCTGGAAAAAGTGGGTGTAAATTTATGTGTACTCGCAGAACTTTTAAAGTTGTATTTAAAATAAAATTTTATTACGTTATTTCAATTGTATCTTTTTTCGAATAGCGTGCAGGAAAGAATGTTACTCATATGTACATGGCCTAAAAGGATTTTATTCTAGAAATATTGTGTGTACATACACAATATTTCTAGAATAAAATACGAGCATCATGAGCATCCTCTAAATTTAAATTTAGAAACGCAAGCTTTGGTATCCGCACCTCTTTCGGCAAGAGGGAAAATTTTGGAAGATGGCCCAAGCCCTACCTCGGAAAAATTTTGTTGGACCACTCTACTGCACATGGATAGATTTTTTTTGCTTTTGGTTTAAAATTTAGATTGTATAGAAAAACCCAATGAAAACTAAAATCTGGAAGAGACCCATGACCGCAGTTTGCTTAGTATTACTCCCAGGGGATCCCGCCATACGGAAAGAGCATATGGGCCCATAGATATTAAATCCGGCACTGGTACAACAGGTACACATAATACGGAGAATTCCTTTAACAATGCTTTTTTTAATGGAAATACTGCGAAACGGAATTTTTTCGCAGTAGTACACAGTTTTTTTCCTCGAAAAAAATATTCAAGCGTTGTGCATGTCCGCGCACCCTAACCCAGAATAATGTCCCCCAATTCGAGCAAAAAGGAAATCGTGAACACGTGGGACTTTTTCACATCATTTGTTCCCAGTGCAGTTTAACAAGCGTACGCTTTTCGCGGAACTCAGAAACGATAATGTAAGCTTCCGACGACAAAATTTCATATGTGCAGATTTAGGTAATCTCATTTTTCTAAATAACTGTTACTAATACATACATGTAGTATGTCCATTTCTCTGTAACACACTTACATACATAACTTGCTCACAAATATTTAATAAAATTGTATTTCACTTACCTTTACCAAGAAGTTTACCAAAAGAGCCAATTAATGTGGGCAAGAACAATGCGAACAGCAGCGATTTTAATACTTGCAAGCCCATGAAAATGGGCCAGAGCGCCTTTTTCAAACCTTAATAAACAAGTTAAAGGAGCGTATGTAAAGCGTGTACATATTTGTGTAATAAATATTATGACGCACCTGTAAAAAAAAAGTAGTCGTCCCGACTCCACAGCGCGCGGAGTGTTAACGCTCTGATCGCCATCGGCTTTGCGCTTAATTCCCTCGAAAAGGAGATTTTGGTGATGATGCAGATGATTATGGTGGTGATGATGATGCGGGTTGGCGCTAGCATGCCGGGTTGGACGCTTCTTGTGTTGCTCTGCTATTAGCGTAAAGCCGTCGGCTGTGGTAAGATTCTTTTGAAGCGCATTAACCAATTCGCTGGATGGTTCGTACTCTGCTTTGTTGAAGAAACTCTCTGCATACTCGACCAGCAAAGCCTCTAATTCCTTAATATCATCATTGACTATATTTTGGGCCGCATCTGGAAACGTTGCTGCTACCGGGGTTTGTACTTTGCTGCTATTTGTAAGTTTTCTTTGTTCTGCAGTTAATTGGCCTAATGCAGACGTAAATGGCAATGCTTTGCCTTCATGTGCATCAAGTGCCTTTTCGGATATCCTGATTTGTGTAGAATGTTCTGCGTATTCGCTTTGCCATTTTGTATTGCCGAGTGTTTTCAGTGGTGGAGCTGCCACTTCTTTTTGCTTGCCATCTTTTTTTTGCGTCATTAACTTTGTGACCTTTGCCTCTGCCATTGTTTTTTGTTCAGTCGTGGGGTTTTTCGTTCCGAGCTTATTTTCGTTGTTCACACCACTCCCTCTAGTTTTATTTGTTTGAGCTTCCATTGAAGCCATGCTACCCGTATTTGCTTCCAAATCAACAACATTTTTTGCATTCTGCTCCATTGCCACGGCTACGCGTAGATCGCTGGTTGCCGGCTGGAAAACACGATACTGACCCGTATGGGTAAAGACATTCTGTGCAATAATTTCTGGACTAATGTCCTTGGGGATAATCGGCCGGAAACTATTGTTATTATCATTTCCCGCCCATTGTCCATCGGTGGATAACAGTTGGCTGTATTGCGTCGCTCGTAACGCTCGATGGTGTGGGTCGATTATTGCACGCTGGAGTTCCATTGTTCTCGCTGCCGGCTTGTAAGCTATTACGCCGCTCTGACAAATGTGAAATGCCAGTACTGAGAGCAGCAGAAAAATCCATGGTATTCTGGATATGGTATTGTAGATTGTGTAGAGGAAAGTAGCACAGCAAGTGGCGTTGATGCTGAGGCAAGCATGGCATGCTGCTCTGTTTGCCAGACATTTGACATCGTGGTTGGGGTTCGTATTTTGTACCTTCTGTTTGCTTATCCTAACGATTGCTCTGTTCGTAGCTAACACCGTTGGTATTCTCATTTTTTGAGCAGCGCGACATACTTTCGTTGAACTTTCACCCATTTTCGCCTTCATTCTTAGTTGCTGTTCCATTGTTTGCATCGCAATTTTTGCCTGTTTTGTTTTTAGTACATTGTTTACTTGTGTTTGTTGACAAATCTCTACATCTGCAAATTTAGTTGCTCTTTTGTCACAACAGCTCATCTGTTTTGTAGCCAGGTGTATATTATTCCCCTCATCCCACAGAGATTTTGCCATGAAATTAAGTTCGTTGTCTTCTTTTATTTCATTCAGGGTTTTTAAGTTGTAGTTTATTATTCAAACGAGGGTGTTTGTATGAATCCGTTTTCACTTTGGCGTTCCCTTTGAAAAAATTGCTTCTGGGAATTCGTTGTCAGATTAAATTAAGTCAATTTGTACCCTGAAACATCACGAAATAAAAAATTGTGGATTATAGCACAAACATTAAAAATGAGATATAAAATACACATAGACACATATAGGATACTTTATTTATGTACATACAAACAAATATTATGGTGTATCACGTTTAATGCAGAAAAAATTATTTTGCATACAATTTAATTATTTAGCAGTTTTTACCAATACGGGCGTAATTAAAAGCTTATCATTTATAAATTTTGATGCTTCTTAAGATTATCTCGAAGTGGAAATTTTCTAGGCTTCCAAAAAAAAATATGGCTTTTATGGATTTTTGAAGTGTTTTTCTTTAGCTGAGTAAAAGCGTCACTCATCTGAACAAATTCGGATTATGACATACGAAAACAAATGCATCCCAATTTGTGTGTAGACAGCGAGTGTATTTTTATTTTTTTTTTTGTGAAATTAAAGCAAACGGGGTTAGAAATTTTAATATCCTCTGTATTTAACAGGGACGTGAATCGGTTTTGAACCGGAAAACCGCTATTTTCTATTAATTAACTAAACCATTAACCGAACCGAAAATTTTCACAAATGCTTGATCCAAACCGAAAACCCAACCACTTTCCATAAAGCTTTAAAGGTTCGTTTCAACCAATTTTCAATCGATAAATGTACCCACTTTTATCTTTTTGTTAAACATGGTAATACATAGCACGTTTGTTTACCATGTGACAATATATAATGTAAAGGCAGCCCATCTCATTTGACACTAGACCCCTAACCTTGCGCGTTGTTGCACTTATTTTTTTGTTTTTCGAACCGTTGAACCGAACCGAAACCCCGGTTCAAAGACCAAAAAAACCGCTTTGACGGACCAATCCAAAAGTGCAAAAATGTCTGGAACCGCTGAACCGAACCAATCAAATTCTTCATCCGGTTCACGTCCCTAGTATTTAATGTATTTATATTTTTCGTTTAAACGCAATTATGTAATTTGATTTATTGGACAAGAATTGAACATATTACCTCCATAAATTTTCTTCAACAATATCCGTGGATCACCAAAATAAAAAGAGCTACATTCCGCGAGCATTCCGTAAATATAACGAACTTTTTAAACCGAAAAATACTGCCCGTCCGGCTACCGAAAATTTACCTAACTAACTAAAACTATTTGGAGTTGTCAAAACTTTAGTTACGTAAGAGTTTAAAAAACATAGTAACTCGCGAAGTTTCCGCTTTCTGATATTAAAATTTTATGCAACAGGCATGCAAATTTTTAAGCGCTTTTAAAATAGTTTTTTTTTTTAATTTATTTGTGTTTCTTGCTGTGTTCTTAAATTTTAGTCTTTAACAAAAACCATATCAATACATGTTTCAAACTTTGTGCAATATTTGAAAAGAAAAACCAGCAAACTTTCGCAAAAATGTCGATGTTTTACTACACTTTTATGAAAAAAGTAACTAAGATTATTAATAATAAAATAAATAGTAATATAAAGCGAAATATTTTTATTAAACTTTTAACAAATTTGTAATCGTTTTAAGTATAATCTCTGATCAAAACACTTTCATATGTTAAGTGTAAAGATTTTTTACATTTTTCGCCTGCCATGTTGGATCCGCCATTTTGATTTTTGGTAAATGACCTTAGATTCGTAATCAGCGATCCAGAAAACCCCCAGCTACCTAGTTTCATAGAAATTGCCGATTTTTGTTTTAATTTTCGTCCGCCATATTGGATCCGCCATTTTTAATTTTTGATAAGTGAATTCAGATTTGTAATCAGCGACCCAAAAATATCCTAGATAAGAAGTGACGTAAAGATCCACCAAAGAGTATTTGTTTAAATAGTTTCGTCCAGCTAGATTTGCGATCCGAACCACTGTGAGCCGCAGCTATATGAAATCGTTCATAGAGAAAGCTTTTTCGGAAGCGTTTTGAAGCTGAAAGCAAAGCATTATTTTGATTTTTGGTTTTTTTCAACTTCATGACGCTGATAAGTACAAAAATTAAAACGATTAAATTTTATCTGCTTTTCATCGAAGGTAAATTTTGTGATATCATTATTCATTTGCAAAAAAAAAATAAATAAATTGTATCAGAAAGTGCACAAAAACAGATGGTTTCTTATGTTCTTTTTCGAAAGTGAAAATATCGTACTTCTAAATAAAATAATAGAAAAAAAAACATATTTTAAAACATGCATATTTTTTATTCATTCCATTAAAGGCTAGCACACCCACATTTTATTCACATTGCGATTCAGAAGAACTAAGCGGCAACGAAAATCCTTAACAATTTCCAAGGAAAAATTATCCATTGATTTAATGGCCTTTTCTTCTGAAATATGAGTCATACTTGAAATAGATTTATTAAGAATGTAGGAGTGCAGATCTTAATGTGAAGTATTAAATATTTTTGCAATTGAAGTAATAAAGCTTTTACGTAATTAAATTATTAAGGCAAAACGCAACATCATAATATTATAGTGTATAAAGCGTTACAAAAAATAAAAAATAAACGAATATGCCAATTTGTGTAAACTGTGTCACGTTTATTGTTGCACACATTATAATTAGAAATAAGTATCAAATATGTAAATATGTGTGCACATACATACATATATAAGCATTTGTATGTAAATTTGCATAGTTTTGTAATAAATTTAATGTTTTGAGTAAACGAGCGGTTGAAATGGCTATAAAGATTCAATCGTGATAATGACCGACTGAATATATACATAACTACATATACACGTATGCGCATTAGGGTGGTGCAAAAATGCATGTGAAAAAGTAAAGTCGGAAATTTTATGCTCTCACCCCCTAGGTTTGTTCTATTTATACCGAACAACAATATACTCCTATTTTTTTTTATTTTGAAACCACAAAATATTTAGAGGTCGCTCAAAGCGCCCAAAGTTTGCCATGTATTTTATATGGGTGAAAAAAAAACAACTCTTGGTAGAAATGGTAGAGAATTCCTAAAAATTAATATTTTTCTATTGGAAAACTCTTTTTATCTGCATAAGATTCCCATTAATAATACCCAAAGGTTTATTCAACAATTTTTTCATCGCAACTATAATTTATAGGTCCGCCAAAAACCCAAAAAAACGCCGAAAAATTCAAAAGGGGGTCCAAAGAAAAATCGTTAGTTTTAAAAATAAATAACTGGGTATTATTGTTGAAAGTATTCGGAAGAGAACCAGAGATTTCCAATCGAAAAATATTGATTTTCAAGAATTATATACTATTTCTACGAAAAGTTGTTTTATATAAAACAACTCTAGAGGGTGAGAGCATTACAATTCCGACTTTACTGTTTTTGGACCACCCTAATGTGCATACATGTACGAGTACATAAATTCAAACAAGATGACATGTCAGAATCAGATATCGAGTTCGTTACACAATAGCCCGACTATGCAATAACATATAAAATATCTGTACATGGAAATAATACATGCGCGTACATGCACGTGCACGCAATTGTTTCTCCAGTACATATGTATAAGTATGTAGTAATAGCAATTAGAGCCGTGAGCGATTTTGAAACACTCAATAGAGATCATGTAAAGCATGGCAAGGGCGAACACCTCCACCCACTTTCCCACTTAGCCTATTGTCTACTGAGCTATGATAATCAAATTGTATTTAATTCGAAATTTTGTATGCATTTCACGTCAAGTAGTAACATCTTTTATTGTGCACATACAAATATACATACTAATAGATACATACTTAAAAACGTATGCATGCATGCATGAAAGTTACTTGCAATGACTGTTAAAGTGCAGGCGCTTTTTCTACGAATTTTGCTGTAAAAATGCGAAATGGATAGTCTTCTTTCCCTTGTAAACAGCCAGAAAGTCCTTTTTTGCAGATTTACAGATTTTCAGAAATCATTTTCGGAAATAAAAATTACAAGGTGTACTGGTAAGTGAAATTACGCAAATCGCTCTCGAGCAATAATTTCAACTTACTCGCGCTCCACTAGCGATTTTCATTTCTGCTGCAAGTGCTGTCAAACCAATCGAGTGTTGCCATGTGATACGATTTTTGGCGAATTTGTATAAAATTATGAAAATTGTTTATCACATATGTACAAAAAAGTTCTTATATTTAATTTATTCTCCTGATATCAACTACATATTTAAATATTAAAGCATTTGACATTTTGTTGCTATTTAATGTGAATTACAGCGTTTTTGTAAAACTTTCAGGTCATTAATTTTGGTAATACAGTTGAAAGTGGAAATTTCTGCATTCACCGTGTTAAAAACAGACCAAAAGTAGTATCGGAAAGTTCGATTTTCAGAAATAAAAACTGCTTTCGAAAGTCACTTTACACTTTAAACTTACTCGACGAATTTAAAAAAATTTTCGAACATATTACTTTATATGGAACAAAATGAGCGACATCCATCAACAAAAAAAAAATGCCAAAAATCAACGGCAAGTCCTATCTACTTCCAACTTCACTGCGTACGAAATTTTTTTCCAAAAGCTCTTATTGAAAAGTTGGAAATTTTGATAAAACTTTGTCGAATTTTCCTACTTTTTGTACAATTCGGGCTTAAATGGTTTCTGGTAGCTACATATACTTACATACAAAAAAAAATTCCCAATCTTTTTTAAAATGTTGCTTCCCTATTTATTTTCCCGCCACTGTCGGTGAATAACAATAAAATAGTATCATTGGAGGCGATTGGCCTCGCGAACGTAATGGAATCGCGCCATTTTCACTTTCTTTGCAACAATTAATTAAAACAAAAACAAATCTCATGCCCGTATGTACATAAGTATTGCATGCAATAATGCAGTGTATTTAGTTATGCAAAAAAAAATATTATAACGAATTGAGAAACTAAAAAACAAATATCAAAACAATAAACAAAAATTAGCATCAAAAAAGGTGAAAAAATTATAAGCATTCATGAGGAGCGGCATGTAGTAAATATATATGCATACTAGGGTGGGTCAATTAGTAGGTCAATTAAAAAAGTTGATTCATATCCTTGCGATTCT